CATAAAGCTGTATTAAGTTTGTAGGGGCTCGATTATCTATGCTGTCACTGATAAAAGGAGTAAGGTTGCGAGTGCGGATCCACAGCTACGATATTTCCGAAAGTTGTCCTGACGTAGCCGGAAACTTCAAGATAGTTAAGAAGTTAGCCTTTAACTAGTCTCAAATGTTCGACAGACAGTTGAAGTCATCGACACCGGACGCTAATGCCTTGGGTCTCTCACTGGCTTCACCTTCCCTTGTGCAGTGGAATGACCAAGGCTCGTCGCCATGTATCTGGGACGACCCTACTTTCGAACAGACCTTGCACCACCTTGCGAGTGGTTTGTAACATATGCGAGCAGATCCCTTTGAACCATGCTGGCGCAATGCCGTTCGGACCAGAGCTCTGAAACAAAACCGTGTGCTTCCTTTGTGAAGGACACGGTTTTGTTTTCTGACCGAATGTCCCTGGCCTCATCTGCAGTCAGAGATCGCACTGCAAAGGTCTCTGGGGCATCTGCGCGTGGGTCGTCGAATAAAACCAGATCTGAGGAATTCGGAAGAGGGTGTGTACCAAGAAAAAACGGTCAGGAAAAGACAATAAATCTTCTGCGAGAGATCCGCGACATGGCCATGTACAATAAAGCAGGGTCGCTGGGATGACGACCGTAGGAAGCGGATGTAGTTCCAGAATACTTTTCGCTAATTCGGTTTGGCATACGTATTGTTTGTGAAAGATATAACAGAGTTTTAGTAGATCGTTCCGATGGCTCCGATACTCCTCATAACAATACCCGATGGCGACGCAATGTGTGCGCAAAGGCGGCGGCGGAATACCGGGTATCATTATCGGAGTTATCGAGACGATTTACTAAAACTCTTCATTTACAGCAGTGTTCAGCGACCGCTGATGTTTCTTTGCGAGTAGTCGAATTGTACAAATTACTATCGGCGTGCCCGTTAAAATAATGATTGCTTGGTCCGTGCTGCTTTTATGGTGTCAGCCGTGATCCATGGCGAGTGCTTCCGTCGCAATGATCCGAGAGAGAAAGGCTTTCTATATGCTGAATATGAAGTCACACTACTGGTCGTAGTTGGATGACCAGTCAGAGCCCGTGGTGATCATACCCCATAGTGACGGGAAAGTCACTTGAGTCTAGTGACAAAACTCAATTTGCCAGAACCTCCATAGCCTACGCACGAAAGTACTTTTGCGCGGCAAAGGGATTGCGTAGTGAAGTTGCACAGCAGGATGGTTACCGTCGTGGAGGCCTTCAGATACTTCAACAGCCTCAAGGCGTGTCGGATCGCAAGCGAATACGAAGTTAAGGAAGCTCGGTACCTCGTCACAGGTCGTGTATTTTGGCTGTTAGCACGCTTGGAGCAGACCAGCAGCGGTCGAAGTCTCAAGAGGGATGTTGTCGGAATGGTCAAGGGGGCAGGGTCGCCGTAGGAACACCAGTCGATGTGAGTGTTAAAGTTGCCGAAAAAAAGGATGCTCGCTTGCGGTTTAGCTGTGGCGGACTCCAGGGTTGCGTCGAGTAGTCGACACTCTTGGGACACGGGCGGGCAGTAAATGAATCCCAGAAAGTATTTATTTATTTATTTATTTATTCTGCTTAATGTGCCCACAAACCGTTTGAGGCCTTATTAGTGCGCACAAAAAAGGATGCATAGGGTTTAGCTGTGGCGGACTCCAGGGATGCGCCGCGTAGTCAATAGGCTGCTTTTTGGGACACTGGCGGGCAGTAAATCAATCCCAGAAAGGATGTTACACAAGGAACGAAAAACTCGACAAAAGTGATTGGAGGTATATGTGCTCGTTAACCGACTATTATCGAACTGCTTACAGAAGTCAAGCCAATCATAAACTTTTGTTCTCCTTTTTTTGTTTTTCAATCCGTAGGGCGGAGTGCGGGCGACATGTTGCGAAGAGGCACCAACGTCATACGAACTGAACCTTTCGATTGTGGATAACGTTGCAATAGTTAAATGAATGCTTGCGCTTAACAGTGGGAAGAAATTCTTGACCGTGCTTTATAAATTTCAAATTCAGAAATATATCTAAAATGTTTATTTTTTCCTTCCTGATAGTTTTTGAAATTAAAAGCTTTGGCTAGAGGGCGCAAGCCGTCGTCCGATTAAAACGGTTCAGCGCCATTGATTCATACAATTAACGTGATGTTATTCCAGGAAGCTTTGGGAACATCTACCAGGTGCAATTTGGCAATTGTTTGACTAGTCTTCAAGAAAATGGTTGCGTTTATTTACGAAAAATTGGTGTCTCTCTGGTGTCTCCACAACATAGTCAAGTTCATTAATAAAAAAAGGATCTCAGCTCTCATTTCCGCACCCGTTTAATATTTAGTGTGATGGGACCTAACAAAAGCTTTCTATTGGTATACGTGAAACGTGAGTAAATGCGCTCACACTAACGTAAACACACTAAAGAACAGAAAATTTGGGGGAAAAGCTAAACAGTAATGTATTTCATAATATGATATACTAAAAAAGACGGAGTGCGTAGTTAAGCTGGTGATAGTAAATCACGATGTTTAAAACCCAGGAATTATTTTCCTGTGCCTTTTTTTATTTCAAAGTATCCCTCGCCACAGTCTCGGGTTTTAAATATAAAGATTATTTTTAGTTTAGGATCCACTTAAGGTCGGTGAGAGAATATAGGCATATAATAATTTTTCGTGTAGATCATTTGAATATGTCAAAGCTTTTCACTGAACTACACTGTGCGTCGACAAGGGTCACAGTCTCTGACAAAAATGTTTTCTTTTTACAGAAACTGCGTTCCTCTCATGCTTCAAGACACTTGGTCGTCTTTGCTGATTCATGGCCCTAATTCGGTCATAATGGCAGCTTATGAGGTCAGTGTCATCTCACTATACAACAACAGCAGCTTTGGCGACCTCCGGCAAAAGAACGTCGTGCGTCCGACAGATCATCTATTTGCGTAGTGCTTCAAAGTTTGGGACATACTACATTTTAATTTATTGAGAACGTTTAAAAGTTGAATGAGAGTCTACGACTCGCGTTTATTTATCAACCGGTTCTTAAAATGACCTACAATAGAAATGCCCAGGATGCAAAATACGTATTTATATACCAACATAAATAATAAAGACTCAAATTGTAGAAGTGTTAATAAAAGTTTTATTGATGAAAATACAGATGGCTTCTTCAGTTATAGCTCGTGAAGCTTTTATTAGAAATTATACAACTTCACTTCAAGTAAACTAGGCAATAAGCTTGCGTATGCATCAAGTCAGAAGCTCATTTAGTTACTCTGGGAATTCGCGATCCCTAAACCACCATTCCTGCTCCGTTTATTGAAAGCAGATGCAACGTATCAAGTACAGCAATTACAACAATTATCAAATCTGTGAAGCGCAGAGACACTAGCGGGTAGCTCAACGAATTGTATATGTTGCCTAAGCTCTCAGAAAGCCCATTCTTGAGACACGACCTCGAGCCCGGGACTCTTTGAACCTGGCACAAAACACCTGAGACGGAGATTACAAAATTAAAATATCTGAAAACAGTATACAATCCAGCATGTATTAAAAAAAAAAAAAAAGAATGTATCTATTTCCTACGAATGAAGTTGGGAGACAGATTGTGCAGCTTGGCTCGAGCTGCGCTGGGCGTTTATTTAAGAGCTCCTTAACGTCGAAAGTGAAGCTAAATTTGACGGGAAGCGTTTCCCCGCAAAGTCTATAGCACTAGCAGGAATACTGAATTGGTGTAAAATTATATACCAATTAAATTTCGTAGGTTCACTAAATATAGCGCTTTATATTTTCGCATTACACGCTTTTGGAACAGCCTTTTCTTTTCCGAAACACATAGAAGGAAGCTATGCTTCGAACGTACCGACAGTTGAAATAACAGCTGTTAGACGCCCTTCTGTAGCAAATTCGAGAGACCGTCGATTTCGAAATTATTTGCCTATGAATTGCATTTCATCATTGCGTCTGCACCAGACTTACAGGACACCATAGCATTTTAAGCAATTTTTGCAGCATAATCTACTTAAGAAGCTTAAGAAACTTCAGCATTCTTTGGAAGCTAAGCAGCTTAAAGGGCAACTCCTGTCCAAATTGTCGAATTGGGGATTACGACTGTTTTCAGCCCCTGCAGTCTCCCTGATTAAGAAAGTATATTTTTTTCTCGGTATTTTGTTTAGTTTCCTAAATATCGCGGCTCGAAGTTTTGTTTCGGGCGTCTACGGCAAAACCGAAACTATACATCTGCTAGAGAGATGGCAACCCTGATCATCAGCCGTACGGCCGCTTCGTGACGTCACCGCGGTGCTGTGGTACGCTGTACAACGTGCGGAATCAACCGCAGCTTCACAGCGACGAGACGTCACGTGGGTGCGCCACCCAGTGTTCCTTGACGAAAAGCTAACCCGCCTGCCACTCACTAAAGAGCAGCTGGGTGCATCTCTAAAAGTGATTTTAGTAGAATACGCGGCTTCACTTTAACCTAATATTTCGGCTGTGATCATATTTCGTGCAAATAAAGAGATACCAGTCATTTATTTTGTTTTTTTATTCCAACCGGAGAAGTAACGTAAACGGCCTATGCTACCCAAGCTTCTTATGCGTCCTAAGCACATTATGCAACCTAAGCAACTCATGCAACCTAAGCAACATAAACGACTTTAGTCACTCAAATTAAAGGAGCACTAAAGTGTTTTTTGAGATCGTCTGTTTATAGCGCAACCCCAATCAAGTCACCCTAAGCACCCTTAGAAAATCCAACATTACAATCGTGCGCTATACTTTAGCCTAATCAAATGCGATGAAGCATTGCGACGCGCCCCTTTTTCTGAGATATCTAGAAAAAGGGGTGTGTCATGAATTTCTGGTCGTATTTCTGATTGCATAAAATGTGATGCGTGATCAAAATTATAATTTCAGAGACGCAGGGCGCGCGTCGATTGAATTATTGCCGTAAAGACAAAATCTCAAAATTTACTTTAGTGTCGCTTTAATTAAGCTACTTAACCTTGCAAACCGAAATCTCGTGGAACGGTTCCTTCGATGATTTCGTTCAGGTAAGCGGTGACCGCCCCGAACGTTTCATGCAAAACCTTGCCGGGCAAAAGTGGCAGGGGGTGCTTTGTCGCGAACTCCATTTCTTGACAGATGGTGGAAGCCCTCAGGGTACTTCCTCCGTGCTGAAGAAAGTTTTCCTGTGAATCAATGATGTCCGTGGTCCTGGTGGTGAATTTCTGGACAGTAATATTGCGAGGGTTACAAAATATGATTTTATGTTTTCGTTTCGTTAACACACACCGGTAAAATTTTCGTTAATCCCGATTTATCGGATAAACACCGAGTTTTGAAATCAAAATGTAAAAAAAAAGAAAAAAGTAAGAAACGTAGCTGCACGGATTTAGGCCAAGCATTGGCCAATGTCTTGCGGTGGTCTTTTGGCCAATGCCCATAAAGTGCCCATGCATCGGCCAATGCTTGGCCGATGGGTGATGGCCAGTGACCAGTGGCCAATGGCCAGGGAGTGGCCAGTCATCGGCCAATGGCTGACCACTGTCGGGCCGCTGGCCAAAGAACCATTGCCAGTGATTGGCCAATGATTGGCCAACTCTTTGCTTCTTGAGCCTACAAATTGTTTCGGTACAGGGTCTGAAAGTATGAGCTCCTATATTCCATTGGAAATTGTGGGAGGGCAGTTGGTGAGTTTGAATCACTAAAGCATTTTACCCGATGCAGCAGGCAGAGTAGGTGAATGGGATGGAAAGGAAACGAGTTTCGCAGCTTCTAGGGCCAAGACGTTTCTGATTTTAAGGTATGGACGTCTAGTTAAGGAGCACTTTTCTGGCAGTTTTATTGTGGGACAATTAGTGATATCAACGGCGAGGGCGCCAACGCCTAATTCATATATCACTCGATAGTTTCATTAAAATAAATGCACCTTCATGACGGAATATTATTTTTAATAAATTCCGAAAAACTTTGCATGTAGGACGAAAAATAAACTCCGAAAAGCATCTCCCAAATTTCACAATAAATAAGTTCCGAAATCAGGAAACTCTAGTTTTAATTTATAAATTACCGGAATGTACCGGCTTCTATTGCGAACACGGAACCCAAGTTTTTGCTCCTCATAAAGAAACTCCCCATTGCAGAAAGCTGGACCTTTATCGAAATAAGACGCAGGCGTTGGGACTTAACGTCAGAGTTTGAGAACATGACGCTACCTGGATCAAATATTATCACAAATGACAGACGATGAGGCAAAAGAAAACGGAATGAACTAAAGATTTAATGGGGCGAGCTTGTGGCAGAAACGAAAAAGAGAACACACGTCGAGAAAGCAGCAGCGAGCCTGGACGACGGAAGCAGCAAGCGTCGCTACGTCGGCGTAACAGCTGGCTATGGCTAGAGATAACCTGGGAATAAATCGGCAATACAGCGATCGGCTCCTTGCCTACTATGCTTGTCATCCCGAATATTCGACCTAGAATGTTTCCGCAAGAGCTCCCAGGAATTGAACCCTGGGCCCCCGCGCGAATGTCAAGTGCGGTAACCACTCGGCCACCCATGTGCTCGCTCGCCGACGAGCGTGGCACTACTCCCCCTTTAAAGAGAGTATCGTGTCGATGCCACCGTGAAAAGAAAAAACAAACAAAAACAAAAACAGAGCATGGCAAACAAAATATTAGGAAAATGCGGGGGCTGGCAATACACAGTTTTATCAAGCGTTGCACAGGATCATAGTTCACAGTCTTATTGTGCGTAGTACGTCTTGAGGCGCACGACGTCGGCGACTTCAGGTCGTGGTGGGCGGCTTGATGATTTTCTTGTTCTGTCGGGCATCACCTCGCTGTTCAGCTCCCCGAGGCGACCAAGTACCTTGTAGGGTCCAAAGTGCCGTTTCAGCATTTTCTCTGAGGCCACGTCGACGGATGGGTGTCCACATTCACACCCTTCCTTCGGGCTGGAAGTGGACGTCCCTGCAACGAACGCTGTAGCCAAACGCGTCGACGCATTGCTGGTTTTGAATCAGGTGTCGGGCGAGCTGGCGGACTTCTTCGGCCCGTTGAGCAACCACCTGGACGTCGTCACTCTCATTTTCATTAGGCTCATGGGGCAGCATAGCGTCGGGAGTGGTCGTTACCTTCCGACCATGTACCAGCTCGCAAGGTGTAAATACAGTGGTCTCTAGAACCGCCGTGTTGAAGGCGAACTTGACGTAGGGTAACACCTCGTCCCACGTCTTGTGCTTTACGTCGACGTTCATACAGCCATCAGCCCGTTGGTCTGCGGATGGTACACAGTGGTCCGACGTTGGCCGATGTGACTGAGCCGAAATATATCTTGGGTCAGCTGTGCCATGAACGATGATACGCGATCTGTAATCAGAACTTCGGGAGTGCCATGCCGTAGGACGATGGACTCGATGAAAAACTTGGCGACTTCAACAGCAGTCTCTGAAGGAAAGACTTTCGTTTCTGCGTACCGCTTGAGATAATTTGTGGCAAAGATTATCCAACGGTTTCCCAGAGTCGACTGCGGAAAAGGGCCAAGTAGATCCTTTCCGATCTGCTTGAACGGTGTAGTTGGCGGAGGAATTGGCTGCGGGAGACCTGCCGGCTTCGTCGGCGGATTTTTGCGTTGCTCGCACTGGTGGCATGATCGGGTGTAGAGATGGACGGTTTTGGGGAGCTTGATCCAGTAAAAATTTCCACTAACGCGGGCCAGTGTCCGGCTGTAACCAAGGTACCCAGACGTGGGGTCGTCGTGACATGCTTGAAAGATCTCCTTTCGAATGTTGGTCGGAATTACCAGCAGCCATGGGAGTTGTTGTCCCCGAATTGGCTTTTTGTAGAGTACACCTTGTCGAATGGCAAAGGTCGGCAGGGCTCGTGAGAAAACATGCGGTACGGTACTCCCGCGCCCTTTTAGGTGCTCGATTCATGTGTTTCGTTCTCGTTGACGTTGTTCTCTTCTCGTTGACGTTGTTCCATGTCATCGGTGTTCACTGCTATTACGAATCACTTGTCATCGTCGTCGCTGCTACCGGAAGGTGTTTCAACAGGGGCCCTGGACAGGCAGTCGGCGTCGCTGTGCGTGCGGCCTGACTTGTAGACTACAGTCATGGTGAACTCTTGTAGTCGGAGACTCCATGGAGCGAGGCGCCTTAAACGGTTTTTGAGGTTCGCAAGTCAGCAGAGCGAGTGATGGTCTGTGACTACGTGGAACGGGCTCCGTACAAGTATGGCCGGAACTTCGTGATTGCCCAGACGACTGCAAAACATTATTTTTCAGTCGTGGAGTAATTTCTCCCCGACTTGGACAGTGTCCGACCTGCGCAGGCGATGACTCGCTCGGTGCTTTTTCGCACTTGAACCAGTACCGCTCCAAGTCCTGCATTACTAGCGTCCGTGTGAATCTCGGTTTCTGCATCCTGATCAAAGTGTCGAAGAACAGGAGGAGTCTGGAGTCTTCGCTTCAGATCGTCAAATGCCTGCTGCTGCTCCTCGGCCCATCCGAACTTCTCGGCGTCATTCGTGAGGTTTCTGAGCGGTTCGGAAATCCTTGCAAAATCCCGAACCAAGCTCGATAGTAGGCACAAAATTCAAGGAATGTTCGCACGCATTTCTTGTCCGTCGGCGCTGAAAATCCCGCGACGACGCTTGTTGTCGCTAGAGTGGGGGCAATCCGACATTCTTGGAGGAGGTTTCCGACGGTTGTCTTTGGAAAATCCACATCCAGGGGTTGCCGAACTTGGTTTTCCAACGAGGTAGGGCAGAAGAGCTGTCTCGGTGGGAAGTACGAAATGGCGACAAGGGACGTCGTGCTGACGGCGAAAGGGATCTCCGGGGGGAAGCGGGTGCTGGTGGCGGCGGGCGATGCAGGTACTCCTTGATGTCCCGCGCTCATTCACCGCTCCTCGGTTGGTGTGTTTGTGTGTGTGTGTGTGGGGGGGGGGGGGGGTGCGTTCGGTGCGAACCCACGAACCCTAAGCTGCCGGTAGGGGTATCGCCGGTAGACGAGGTCGGCTTCCCCGCAGTGGCTGCACAGCGAGCGTCGGTCAGCCATGCGCCACACGTCCGACTTCCTTGGTGCAGGAGGTTCGGCTCGGACGTACGGAGCTTGTTCCTCAGTGCACCGAGCGTAATGCGGCGTAGGGGCTTTCCGCCAAGGGGGCACCGGGTGCTGGTACTGGCGGGTTGCTGTCGGCGATCGTCGGGCTATGGTGGCGTAGCTCAAGGTCGGTTGCTGGAGCGGCGCAGGGTTGACAGGAGGCGGTGGTTCGACGGCTCTCTGAAACTCTTCTCGCACGACTTTGTCGATGGAGAGCGGTGCTCGGCAGAAGGCACCAGATGTTTTAGTTCTTCGCGAACAACGTCGCGGATGATCTCGCGAAGCTCGTCGGCGCTGTCTGATCTCGGAGCGGACCGATGCCAGAGTTGAGACGTCGTTGAGCCGATGCTAGTGGCGATGTTTGTTGCTTCGGCAACAAACCCGTTAACTGTCGTTGGAGGGTTGCGGACGAGGTCGCCGAAGATGTCGCTCTTCACGAATCTCCATGAGAAAGCTCAACGTTTTCTCGTCGGTGGCATGCGGGTCGGCACGTGCACTTAGGCATACATCATCTACGAAGTTGGTTACGCTTTCGTTGGGTGCCTAAATCCGCCTTTGAAGCAGATCCTCCGCCGCTGTCGTCGGGTTTTGGGTTGTAAAGGTCCGCTTTTAACTCGGCCACGCAGATTTCCCACGACGTGAGCGAGGCTTCGTGGTTCTTGAACCAGTTCCTCGTAGTAGCTTCCAGCGAAAAGTAGAGGTTCTGCATGTACTCCTAGGCAGTCCATCCATAGTGGCGTGCAACGCGCTCGTGGTGTTAGATCCAGTCCTCGACGTCCTCGTGGATTTCGCCTTCGAAAGTCGTCGGTGTGCAGGGTGACAGGGAAGTAAACGACGGGGGAGTAAGCGGGTAGGAGTCTCAGTTTGCCGGTCCCGGGAGCTCATATTTGCTTTGATCTTCCACTTAAGGTCCGGTAGATTTTTTGGTGTGGCGGCTTTCTGCTGTCGCTTGTCTCAACGGACGGTCTTCTTGAGACGGGCGCTGGGCTTGCGCTGCGAGGCCTTGGAGGATTACGCTTCATGGGCCGCGGTACCCCGCACCTCCACCAGAAATGTCACGAAAGAGAGAATGAGTCAGAAGAAAACGAATTGAACTAAATATTTAATGGAGACGAACTTATGCCAGACACGGAAAAGAGCAGGACACACGTCGAGAGACCAGCAGCTAGCGTGGACGATGGAAGGAGCAAGCGACGGTATGTCGGCGTAAAAGCTGGCTATCGCGAGTGAGCACGAGTGAATGAATCGGCAATTCAGCGATCGGCTGCTTTTCTCCTATGCTCGTCATCTCGAATAGAATCTTGGAGAAAGAGCTAGGGCGAGGCAGACTGACCAGGTCATTCTGGCCTGCTTACGCACGGGGTGAGAGCGTACGCGAATCTTCTAGATGAACGAAGACGCGTATCTCCTCGATCATGCACGCGGCAATATAAAAAGAAAGAAACGGTTTTTGAGTACCAATGTCCACCTAAGCACAATTTTGTCCAAAGAAGACATTGTGGCAGACTTGTGCCTGTCTGAAATACTATAGTCAAGATTCTGTGTTCAAAGAACTTTTGGTAGTATTTTGGCGTCTTTCAAATACATTTCCTCTAAGGTATTTTTTACTCTATCTAAGTGAATTTCTCACTATCTTGTACTCGGCATCTCAAACACATTTTTCAACCCTTGGAAGAAAATATGCCTGGAACAATATACGGAACTAGAGATCGTTAAACGCAAGGAAAAACCTGAACCGATTGCTTACTTGGAGCCAAGCTACCGAACATAATAACTGGAGATAAAGCACGAGCAAAACCCAGCCTCCAAATGCAAACTAAAGTCCAAATGGACAGCCCCAAGTATGGCCGCCTCTGTGCTTCTTATTGTCCGTTTTTGTATCTCTCTTTCGTGTCCCTGAATGGCATATAACGCTTAGAGCTTGCAAAGTGCTGGTGACGTCCTCCGGATTTTACAGACTGACCCCACATTTGTCTGAAGATAGAGTTGTTTATTGAGTAAAGGATTGTGACGCCAACGCTCGGAACGTTCTAATGGAACACTTTCCGGAATTTCCGGTTCAGGAGGTTTTGACATGAAAATGTATGAGCAAGTTTTCAAGCAAGCGCAGACACTCCCTCGGCCAAGGAAGCTAGAAACTGCTGGTTTTATTGAGCAGCATTGACCTACGTTGGGCTTTACTAAAGCCACTTTTCTGCCTACTGTGGCTTAACGTTTGCTCCCGAGCTCGTTCAAAACTTAAAAAAAGTAGGAACAGCGCGCAAGAGGACGAGGACAACGAAAGTAGAGCACAGGACGAGCGCTCCTCCCGTGTTCTACTCTCGTTGTCCTTGTCCTTTTGCGCGCTGTTCCTAATTTCTTAGGTCATGAATTAACTTGCCTGGATCGCCACCTTAACTCGTTCAAAAGCGTTTCTTTTATCTTCCGAATGCGCGCATTGTTCCATCCTCAGAATCCTCAAATGCAACTTTCGCGTCTGCTGGGGCCAATTATTTTTAAACTGATAGATTCTGATCCTGTAATCTTGACCTCAATGCGCCAATAATGGTTGGAGCTCATTCGGAAAAGGTGCGAGGTAACGGGATTTGTAGGTGAATTCATGGACAGTCTCTTGTGTTACCTCTGTTACCCTCTGGACCTTCATACTTTTTTACAGTTTGAAGGTACAGGTGCTCCTCCTTGCCTTTGACTGGGGGAACTCGCTCTTGGAGGTTGATCAGCGACAGACGCTGCTGTCCTGGAGCCGACGCTTCTCCTGAGTTCACTCGCGTACTCAACAAATCTGGCTGCCTGACCAACTTCTAGTTCGGCTGATAGCGATAGGCAATGCCGGGTTGGCGTGTCAAACCCCAGAATCACGGCGAGGCATATTACGAACTCTTTGTGGAATGCGTCATGTGCAGAGCCTACCGCCAAACTAAAGCACGCCAGGTGCCAACTTTAGGATTCGTGAGTCCCCATTGTTCCTAAAATATTTCGGCACTCATTGTGTTGCATGTCCCCAGGGATTTCCAAAACTTCGACTGCAACAAATAAATCGCTTCTATAAATTCATGAATGTGATTTTCAGCAAAGTCATCACAGGTAGAGCACCACCTTTCAACAGTTTTCATTCCTATATTACCAACCTGGAACCTACTGGCAACTGTATACGTCAGGCGTCATTGCAGTTTGGGAACGGATGTAAACTACTTGCCAAGTTTCCTCGAACGTAATTGAGTTACTTCTTAAAAGTATTTACACTCTACCTAAGGCAGTTCGTGATAAAAGTAGCTCGAATAATACTTTAAATACATTTGCAGATGGGTATTTCGTGCCTTACCTTAATACTTTTGTTGAGTATTTGGCGCAACACTGCATTGTGAGTGCCTGTGGTATTAATTTCGGCGAAAAAAACTTCTCCGCGAGGAAGAAAACAATATTGAATATTTGTTGCCAAGGATGTTCCACTGAAATAAGCGCCACAGGCGCCTACCATGCCATTTCTTGTTTTGACACCACTAGGCTGGGAACGTCGACTCATAGAAAAAAAAAAAATCGTTTTTCCCTTTATCTTTTCATCCGAGTAACATCACGTTCTCAAGCTTTCAGATTATATCTACTCCGTAGTTTAGTTATGTGGGCAGAAAAATCACGCTTCAACAAATCGTAGGAGCTACGCGATGCAGGTCCAACCTTTCCTCGCCGTGTGTCACGTCATTATCGAGTTGCAATCGTTAAGGATCGGTCCCAAAGCGCTTATCAATTCGCGGTCCAACAGCGCGAATCCAGCACTTGGATCAAGCGCGCGCGTCTGCTCCGAGTGTGAACAGCTATTTACGTGGCTCTTGCTAACACTCTCGTAGTTCAAACGTATCACCTTGGACGTCAGCTCGCTCTGAATCTCCGAGGCCGTGAAAGCGCCGGACTACTTGTTTTTATTTACGCCTCTTTGCAAACGACAGGCGCGGGTCGTCTTTTAGGAACGATGGCAGTTGTGGTGACTTTGTAGCGATCGAGTTCGTAGCCGTCGACGAAGGTGGCTATACCGGCCTCGGCATTCGGCCCACTTTAGATCGTGGTAGCGTCGACATTCGGATACGAGCCCCAGACAAGCATTGGCGGTAAGGCCGCCTGCCTTTTTGATCAAATATCCACGTGCTTCGAACCATGGCGAGCTCTCCGATTGGTTATTTGTGTTGCCGAAGACGTCGTCGCCATAGCAACAGTCCGCTCTCGCGAGGATAGGGAGATTGCGGGACACCGGAAGTGCTAGTTTTTCCGTACGAGGACATCGCTAATTCCTGCTATCAGATAAGAACGCGTTCGTGAATACCGATTTCTCTTTTTCTTAAGATTTTCTTAACTTACGAACTTCTTAGCTTAGTTGTCTTAAGCTAAGCTTAAGCTTCGGGAATCTTGCCTCCGGTCCACACCTTAGAAAGGTCCGATTGACGTTCCAGTGAAAATGTAGTTGGCGGAAAAGCAATCATTCACGGAACCTAAAATATAAACGTTTTTGTCAAAAAAAAACAACAAAACAAAAAGAACTACCTGGCAAGCGAAACACTCGACTAACTACCCAGGATGGGCTTTATTATACTTGCTTTTTGATATATGGTATTTTCTGAGGATTCACAGATTGTTTAAAACAAAGTTATAAAAACTGAAATAATACGGTTTATGCTCGTTAGTTATGCGGTGAGGCGGACATATTATGGGGAACTAATCGTTCAGATAAGTGTGTTATCAGACTAATATATTTTTAAATATCTTCTTATTAGTGAGAATAAACATATAGCTCTAATTATAAACTTGCTGAGCTTGATCAGAGAGCATTAAATCAATCCAATTTAGGAACATTTTGAGAGCGTGGGAAGTATGGTGGCGCGTAAAAGTTACCATCGTGCAACATGCGCAAGGTTGCTGGTGCTAGAACGTACCTGTGCGGCTTTTCTGTGCCTGCCGCACGAGTGCCATCTTTAACAAGCTACCGCGCCTCCCACAGACTCACGATCATTTACGACTCAGCGGTTTTTATGATGTTTCAGCAAGAACATACCTGGCAGAATCTTTTTTTAAATTTTCTCTAAATAAAACATTAATAAACAAAATTAAGTAGCCGACTTATCGTGACAGTTATTCTTCTATTCTATGTTCCACTCGCCGCATAACTAAACTGCACAAACATCAGTAGTCTAGGTTTCACGGTTTTTTAAACAAATATCTTTTTTTTTTATTTATTTATTTATATGGAACTATTTATTACCTTCCACAAGGTAGACAGAAGCCGATTGTATGCAGCAGCGTGATTCATCTTCTTTGAAATTGTTTTAAGCAGCGCCTTAAGGTCGAGTTTCCCTGTGGACAAACGAACAAGAAGCGGTTTCAATGCCACAATACGTTATCCCTTAAAAATGTCGCCCGAGTTCAAATCTCGGCTTTATAAAGCGAGTAGTGCTATAGCTAAGACACTGCTCGCACCAGGAAGGTAAACACCAACCACCCATTGGAAGGAGTACGAATGCTCTCAGGCTAGGTGGCGCGAGCTACCAACCTATAAGAAGGGTATGGCAACAGCCATCGTTCGTTTAACCATGTCAGACAGACCTTATCAGCAAACCTATAGTAAGCGCGATAAGCGTAATACACGGGCTTGACAAAATATTATGATCTAGAGTTGCATCACTACTGCATGATGCACGTTAAAGACGAGCAGTCGCACTGCCGTGGCTATATTTCCTATCAACAGCGTAAACCAGTGTCGCCATACCTCAAAGGTAGACCGGCCTTACAGTGTCTAAGCACCAACGTCGAATTTGTTTGTTTTTGAAAAAAATGGCCGAGTCCAATCAGGCGCCGGCTACACATGACGTTACTCAAGGCGTGACTTTAAGAGGCAGCACGTAGTGCCACGCACAACCCTTACTTAAAAAAAGGAGAAAGTATTGGTGTAGTGTAAATTACAGAAAATTACAGTGATAAAGTTTCAGGCATGTGGGTTGGAATTACTGCGAACATGCAAACTATTTCATATTTTAAGAGTTCTAAACTTCTCATATATTTGTGTGATAATTTTGTGTTTCAATTCACGAATAATATGAATTTTAGACTGTCTACCTATTCAAGCAAATGCATCTGAATGCTGTCAATGCATAACACAAGAACAAGATAGGGCATTCAAATGAGATTCGAAATACCAGAGGACGCAGTGGTCGTTGCTATACAAGAAGAACGGGAATTTATTCTTTGCATTTTTAGCTTTTACCGTTCCTATTTTACCCAAAACCATCTTTGCGTGAACTCGTGTTTTTTTTTTTTTGTTGTTGTTGTTGTTGAGATTCTGATTTCACCTTTGTACTACTACATCTTCTGTTTGAATATGTTTGCTTAGTCCAGTACACAGAATAGTAGTCTCCTTGAGTTGTTGACGAAGAGGAGATCCTTATAGTCTGTTTCATACTTAGTGTGCAACGCTGTCAAAGCTGCTCGCGCGAGCATGGGGCGTGATCTCTTTGATCATTTGCACGCGCTCTCGCGCGAACAAAACCATAGGTGAAGCCACGCGCTCGCGCCAGTAGCTCTGACAGCGTTGCACGCTAAGTGTGAAACCGAGGTTAGTTATGGGCTATGGTGCCTGGAACGCCCGTTTTCTGGTGTGGTTACCGCGTCCAAAAAAGGTGGTCCCTCGATTTCCGCTTGATGACGTCATGGAAGTGCATGTTGTCGAGGGCCGCGATCCTGGCGGCGTCCCAACAGCGGTGGTAAATGCGAGAGGCGCCTGCTACGCTGCAAATCGCCCTCCAGCCTCACAGACCACGGAAGCTTCGGCAGACAGAAGTCGGGACGCCGCGACAACAGCGACGCTAACGTTCCCTCCTTCTTTTCGCTAGCATTTTTAAAACGAACCGCCAGGATCGCGACATCTGGCATCACGACAGGCCGGTTTCCGTGACGTCATTTGTTGCCTCTGAGGGACCACTTTCGAACCGATGGGCGGGAGGTATAAGACGCTAAACACATCGGTCCAAGGCGCGTTCCAGGTACCGTAGACAAGACACCCGTCTGCTTTCCTTCTTTTCTCCTCCTCTCTAGTAGAAATAAACAATAATGATAAAGCCACAATCACAGTGGTCATCCATTGTGTAGAAACACGGTTTTCGCAGATGACTGAATTGATCGGAATTTGTCTGCTTCATACATTATGCTTCCAACAAGAAAGATTTTTTTACATCCCCATCTTCACGGAACCTTCATGCGACGAAGGCCTCACAGAGTATCTGCAGACTGTCTTTTGTATGGTGTAGTGGCAGTGTCAAAAGCCGCTAGAAAGTTCGAAGAAACAAAGTAGAAACGTTCCATGGGCCACGGACGGAGGGCCCCTTTTTGCCCTACTGCGGACATCGCAAAGAGCTCACCGTGTCTGTTCAGCGGCGACGAGTTCAACGCGAGGATTTCGAACGGGCAGAGGCACTCCGTCTCGATGCTTTTGGTCAGGGAGGGCAGGACGTCTTCTGCAACGCAGCCGGGCGACAGCGTGACGAAGATGTACAGCATCTTTTCTTCCTTCGAGAAGTGGGTCCGACAGCTTTCGACGGAAGGCGAGCGGAGCAGGATGGCTGTCGCGGGATCACCGCGCACCTTTCGGCCATTGTACTGGAAACTCGAGTCGTTCCTATTTAGGAACGTGAGGACGCTCCCACATTTTTTCACTCGATCGCCAGTGTCTCGAAAGAGTACCGGGTCGACGTCTCGCCACGTCTCGTTGCCCACGAGACACCGGCGGTTGGTTCCACCTGAAATATCGAGTCCACAATAACTGAACGAACTAATCTTTTAGATAGATGACTGGATGAATGCCCTCCTTGAATCGGGCGGTGACTTGCGCCACCCAGCCAAATAGTATTTTCTAGCTCCAGATTAAATGATGTCTAAGCGAGTTTAATCATTTCTAACCGTTATCCGCCCCTTAATTTTAGTCACCATTCGTCTCATTTTTTTAAGTAAGCCGCTTTCCTTATTGAAAACGTTTTGATTCACGGTTTTTCAGGTTTCTGAGGTAGCCAGCCTCGTCGCAAATGGCAGCGCAATCTACCGCAAATCAGAAAGCGTGATTGGTGGCCTTCTAAAAACCTATAACGGGACGTTTGTTTGGAAAATTGCTGAAACATTATCGACAGCAATAGACAGCAGCTCTGTTGTCCTGGTATTATTATGCTGTTGCCGCCCGTAATAGCTATTATGTCTGTACCACTGTTGCAAAAGAAAGCGGAACATATTTGCGGGGTGTTGCAGTTGAAACACTTGGGTGCCCTCGGCTCCATGCTGTTATTGACTGCTGATACCGTCATATAACCGCCATTCAAAATGGCGGACAACGCGTTTTACACTACCACGCATGCGCATAAACGCCCGCAAAGAAAAAAAAAGAAAAAGAAGAAAAGAACAGTGCGCATGACCACATATAACCCTGGGAAAGGCTCATTGACATACCTCGTGCGAACCATAACCTGCGGGAAGACTGGAACCGATGTTTTGCTAAAAACATTTAGAAGCCGAGTATCTCAGAGAAACATCTGTCGGCAGTATTATCCAAGAGGTTCCTTTAATCGTCTTAGTACAAACTTGGACCGCCTTTTGTGCTTTGTTTGAACTATCTCTAGTGAAGGGATCAAGTTGAATACGATAAATAATATCTATGAGTAAGCGAACGTACGATCGCTGGAATAATTTTCGGAGTTGAATTTATTGCCGAACGCAGTTAACAGAAAATGGCCCTAAAGTTATATCAATGCTCAACTTCATTGTTTGGAAAACAAGACGTTGTAAACCAAACGTAATACAGTCATGCCACTTTAATATGGACCACGTAAATATCGTACTCCGTTACTACAATATTTTGGTGGACGAACTGGGAAATTATTATTTTTATTTCTCCTTATGGTGAATGACTCATACTATGAACGATATTTGATGGGAAATTGTTCATATTAGCCTGCACTAGCTTCGGGTTTTTTCTAAGTGTAAAGAATTCAAGTTAAGTTCTTCACCTGGCAAAGTTAAGAAATCGTTTATTGAACCCATTGCTTTTGTTCTTTTGTGCTTTTTTTTTTTGCTCTTTAAAACCCGGATTTTAACAAGTCCCTACATTCTTAATGGCAGCGACCGGCATGACGATGCAAGAATCGTAAAACAAATTGCGACATATATATAGATCGTATTATAGCAGAAGAATAAGCTCGAAGAGCCACGTTCTTTCACTCAAAAATGAGCCTATACTCGGAGACAACGTTTCTTGACGTTCCCAAGGTGAGGACTGGCGCTCACAGCTTCAATCAGCGCTCAAAAGGGAAGAGGGCACGCGCGCTCCTAGCTTTGACTGCACTGCCAAAAAAAGTTGCCCCCGAACATAGTTATGGATGTTGACTGTACTTACTCTTAAAAAAAGAAAAGCGGTTCCCAGCGTCTGGGAACCATATTTTAACTTGTACGATGGTACAACACTTACCGATGAAAAGCGTGCCTTCCCCTTCTTCAATGACTTCCCCTGAATCGTTCCGCACTTCGAGTAAGGTTCCATCTAACGGATCGCCGAGAGGGACAGCGCTGTGAACAGAGCGAGCACTTAATCAGTAGGCCTCTTGCACTCGGACAGTGGGCGCGAGCGCGTCCAAAAGACGAGACCATGTAATCTTGGCTTCGACGTCTGCAAGACGCCTTTATAATGGTGGCGCTGTAGCGTCCTATTATGCACGAGCCATGTTCGGATACAAGAGTCTGTCAGCGCCTGTTTATGAGCGTAAAAATAAACGAAAATAAAATAAACAAAATGCGCCCTAATGTTCTATCGAAACGCTAAGCAGGGCACTTTGTAGACTCTAACCAATATCTTCAATGTGCACGACGGTTCGGAGCCGGCTCGGCTCCTTGATCACGGGTGACTGTATACGTGGGCACAAAGGTAGCAATCTGTCGTTGTTTACTTCTTCTCTCTCTTAGCATTGTTTTCTTCTTCTGTTTTTGTGTGTGGTACATCTTAGCCCGTGGATATAGCTGCTTTGTAGTGTTCCGGTGGATTGGTTCAGATTGTGGTTAGTACATTTGTATGTGCCAAGTATCTAATAAGAGACGCTTTCTCCAGTTTCTTTCTCTATCGAGGATGGAACTGCTGTCGAACCCGATGACGTGGCCGGTTTTCTGAGCTTTCCCGAAGAACTTTCCCGAACGCCTGCGCAGATATAAGTGTGACGTAAAGAAGAAAGACATCCAAGGCAACGCGCTGGCGGAACATGCTCAGAAGACCGGCCACGTTATCGGCTTTGACAGCAGTTCTGTCCTCGATAGAGAAAGAAGCTGAAGAGAGCGTCCCTTCTTAGATACTTGGCACATACCAAGTACTAAACACAATCTGAGCCGACCCAACGGGACGCTGCCAAGCAGCTATATCCACGAGCTAAGATGCGCTACTCACAGAAACAGCAGAAGAAAACAATGCGAAGAGAGATAAGAAGAAAACAACGACAGATTGCTACCCTTGGGCCCACACACAGTCACCCGTGATCAAGGAGCCGAGCAGGCTTCGAAACGTCGGGCACATTGAAGATATTGGTTAGAGTCTACAAAGTACCCTGTCTTATTACCTACCTAACCAGGCAGAGTTCCGTCGAAATGTTTACTTTTAAACGCTAGCATGTATTCCTTTTAGCTGCCATCTTCATGTTTTCTTTGATGGCGTCATTCCGTAACGCGAAGGAGCGTACGAACGCGCAATCTGCTCCTCGTTGGCGTCCTGTCCTCACTTCGCCCTCGTCTTTTCTGCGCACGCACAAGTCTTATACGAAGCGACCTAAAAATATTCAATTTTTCTCGCGAGGGGCGCTGCTGAAAGCGCGAGAGCCACAAGCCTTCGAGAAGCTGAGGGAGAGGAGGATTGGGGCGCGCGCAAGGATGTCGGAACGTCGAACTCTGATTCGAACAATTAGTGGGGAGACCACTCCTTATGCAGTGCACTCGGCCTCTCGAAAATTCTAGCTGAAATGTTGGCGACTGACTAGACGAGGACCATCCTGGCCTTCTTATCTTTTACACTCGGTGTGAGAGGAAACACGATATGTTTTAGATGCAAGGAGAAGCGTCCCTTCTCGACGTTATTATCCAGCTTTTTCGCTATTGGGGGGCTTACTTAGAACTGATGAATCAGTAGGATATTTTATCAGTGCGATGCCTATAAATAGATACAAAACACGCTCCCATATTGCTAGCCAGAAAAAAACAAGTTCGGGAATTCGAACGCTCATGTGGGAGTCAAAATAACTGCTTCTTCATTACAACGCGTGTCAAGTGCAAAATGAAAAAGAGGGCCCGACGCTGCTTTGATGTCATGTTCTAATTCCCGCCGTAGCTTTAGCAGATCTGCGTGCACGTTATGATTTGTACCAGCCAGTATGGCATCGCACTCAAATACAGTTCGTTCTTATAAACCTGGTGAGTTTTCTTTAGCCTGCTATGTTCCAAACATTTACTACATCAAAATCGGATCATTGTGAACACGATTTCAACTGTTGGAGACGGCAAACTTCAGACATTCCTTGTACGATCGTCATCCGTTCGTCGTCTGCAACACGCATCTCGTATGGACGTATCAGTATGGCAATTAATGTTAAAATATATCAAAAAGAGTTTCGAAAACTCTAAAGCAGAAGAGTGATAGTTTAATGCTGCCCGAGGTTTGTTCGTGTGTGTGCGCACGCATGTGAAGAATCAAATAATGTCACCGATCGCATATGTTTTGGGTAATCCACTTCCAAGTACTTAGTTACCGAAAAGCACGGGACATTCACACACTTTCGACTGCTTACAACTGTACAGGCTAAAAAGTGGTTTTTAAGCCGTTCCTCACGGTTTACCACCGGCTCCGAAGCAGCGCAGCCGGTGCAAGGCCGCCACAAGACTTTAAATACCGGCTTTGTTTAACCGCTCATTCCCACTGGAAGCTGATCCGCGTTCGCAAAGCGGTTGCGGACGCGGTTGTATAAAGATCCAGTACAATTGCACGCGCACTTGATGTAATTAAGTGCGCGTGCAGTTGTACTGGGTCTTTATACAACCGCGTTCGCAACCGCTTCGCGAACGCGGATCTGCTTGTAGTGTGAATGAGCGGTTAGACGGTCGGAGTTAAACGCAACTGTGTGACTGGGCGTTAACACGCAACCGTGCCTCCGCTTCTGCCCCACCACATGTACACACTTTTGCGTAATATAACATTAAAATGGACGAATGGTGGCTGCTAGTTAAGCATTGCAGTAAACCCAGTGCGGCATTTAATATGATGAAGTGTTTATTTCTAATGACAGATGCTTAGTGAAAAATCTGCTAAATTGACAAAGCTCTTGTCAACTTTCAAAAAAATAATATAATGTAATAGTACTACCGCCTAACACTCCACAAAATATTGCCGTTGCTGATCTGTGTCGGTATCCTTCAAAAGTTTCCAGGATTACTCCTAGTGAAACACATTTTTGACTTTTTCTAATATCTAAGAGAAATAAACCCTGATTTTTTTTTTCTAATTTTTTTCCACCTTCAAAATGTTCGGAAATTTCGCATCCCTAATTGTACGTCACGTACGAGACCGCCCTACAGAAACCTGCTGAAGCGCTGCTGAGGAATTGATCAGGAAAAAAGTGCTTACATACCCATCTGTTCCGAAATCAATTTTTTGGCAGGTGGCAAAACACGACACCTCGGTGATGCCGTACAAGTTGTAGAACTCCGTCGCATTTTCATTGCTCTTCCAGCGCTTGAGCACGCTAACTGAAGGACACTCTTCGCCTATCAGAGCAAGGATTCGAAGGCTCGTGTCCAGGGACAGCAGGGATTTCTTCAGGATGTCGGCTCTGATGGTGAAGAAGAAGCTAGGAGTTGCCTACGCGGAAATGACCAGTTAATAAAGCTTTAGATGTATAAGCCGGAAGCTCTTAAGCAGGGCCTGGCAAAAGTGCTCCAGAAATGTATCCCGGAACAGAAAATACTGAAATACGCGTATTTTAAGGCTAAAATACAAATACTGAGGTAGATTTTTTTACGCAACAAGATATGCATGAGATGCTTTTACAAAAGTGTGCAAAAGTATCTCGGAATACAGATACAGATACATACTGAATATATTTTCACCCTTAATTAGGCCATGCTGCGCGAATGGAGATAATGATGAAGTGCATTTCAAACAACCTCATTTGGATAGCAAGTATGAAATATGGGGCGAAGTAGAAACACTCAAATCGTCAAGCCATACAAATGTTTGTTTGATCGGAAAACGAATTTACTAACTTTAAAAGTGAACTGCTTGAACAGTAGCATAATTCAAAGGGCCTATCACCACGGCACCGACGATTTCGTCGCAATACCAGAGTAGCGAGAAGAAAAAAAAAGCCTCTCTACCGGTGTCGAAATGTATAAATACCACCTTGATGGAAGGGAAATTCTGGAGCATTGAGGCACCATTTCTGGTGTTCGACAACGAAGCGAAAAACTTCCGCCCTCACATTTTTGGGGTCTGATTTTGCTAAAAAGACGACGAATCATTTTCTTCGGAGTCGCAGAAGACGTGGACGTGGTCTGCCCGAAATGAGCCCTGCTTTGCCTCCTGTCCTATTTGGAGCATTAATATTTTCATTTTGTCCGATAACTTTGAAATGCTAGGGTGCGTCGTAAAATTTGGTCTTAAGTTCTTCTGAGTAACCCTGGAAAGGGGGAGGGCGGAGGGCGAGAAAAAGATATTGAACAAGAAAGCGGGCCCACGGAATCTACAGGAAAGGAGAGACTTGGGAAAAACGACTGAGCCAACTAACCTTTCTTCGAACGACTTTTTTTTACGTTTGTTGATTCCTTTGTGCATTGTGCAAGTCAATCACTTCCCCCCCCCCTTCCCCCACACAAACACATACGTTTAGGTGATGTTATATGCCTGTTTCAGATGACAAATTTTGAAATTCTAGAACCCTTTGCACCAGTAAATGTTTCACAAGAAATGCATCGAAATAATTAAGCCTGGCTAAGTATCGCGAAAAAATTCATGCCCCGTAAAAGTACTTCACCGTTGAGATACAAATACATTTCTGAAATGTTTCTCGATGCAGAGATGCAGATACTCAAAAGTATCTGGAAGATGATATTGTGATATATTTGTATCGCGATACTGCCGCCCTGCTTTCAAGTTTGGGGAGTACTTCTGGTGAGCAAAATAGAAAAGTGTGTTTGGTCGCGTTTTGGCTGTGCGTAGTTGCGCTTGGCCACGTTGCTCGCGCACGCTAAACCGGCAGGATTTTATTGATCATATTGGTGGACAGAAATATGTCAACGAGAAAGGAAGCTAGAAGAAAAACATTCTTATTGCTTAAATAAGACTAAAAGAGCAAGCTGCATTTTTTTATAATTTACACATTTTTGCTTCTTTCAGACGCTCTATACCAGGCTGATGCTGGCATACTGACCGGGACTCGCGCATTACCGAACGCTGCCTTGCCGCTTAATGATCGATGCAAGCATTACATGTCCGCATCTATTGTGCCTCGAAGGCATCCCACACTGGTGTGGTCATCCAACACTAGCCAGAAGACAGGGCTGGGACTTCCCTTCCAAACGCCATCAGTAGTGGATACAAGCATCGCCGCCTAGAGTTGGTAACAACTCAATAACGGAATGGAAAATGATTCTTAATGGAAATGGCAATCTTCCGCGAGGAAAGCAAAGTCATTCACGTCTAAGCGTGTCCGTGACGTCATGATCTTGCGAACCAATCCCGTTTTCGTGATCAGAAGAGTTCAACATTAACGTTGCAGTAGCATTGTACACAGCACCTTTTGATGTAGAGATAACGGCTTTTGTTTTACTTTAATTTATTTTTTATAAATTAGAAACTGTTCACAAACTAAGTTTCTCTCAGCTGATTTTTGCATCGGCAACCCAACCCATCAATATTGTTCCCTAGAAAAATATATACTAGTATCGTCGGCATAAATGACAAATCGGGTATTACTTGCGATGGCGACTATATCTTTTAGAAACAACAAATTAAAAAGCTGTCGTCCGAAAACAGCACCTTAAGGTACCCCTGTCCGCACTGGTCTCAGTATTCAAAGAAAGCTCATTTATTGCAACTGTTTGCTGCCTGTACGGCATTGAAATATTGCAAAAGAATGCTCTCGAATTCCATAAAAATTTAGTTTTTATTGTTGAATTTTATGATTTAGCCGGCCAAAGGCTGTCGAGAAATCAATAAAAGTCCCCAACGTTTCAATTTTGCTTTCAATATTGCTTAGGAGTATTTATTTTGGCTGTAGAGGAGCCAGTTCTGTGGAGCGACCTTTTCGAAAGCCATATTGAAAATCACCAAGTATCGCAATTTTTCACAATAAATGTTAAGTCTTCCATGTAGAGTCTTCTCGAAGCCTTCAGAAAAAACGGGCAAGATTGAAAATGGGTTTGTAATTGCACATAACATTTCCATCTCTGGACTTATACAAAACGGATACCTTCGCAATCTTCATACCCCTAAGGAAAACACCAGTCCAGAGCGACAAATTAAAAATATGCGTGAGACAGGGCGTAATAATGTCAATCACGTATTTTACCAGCTGCACCTGTATACCACAAATCTATACATTTACTGTTCTTAAGGTTTAAAAACGCCCAAAGTATTTCATTCTTATCGGTAGAAAATAAGAAGCAATGTTCTGCGATGCTTTGAGTTAAACACAAGCCACCACTTGCTAATTGAACGGGAAAAAACCGATTCGTAAAATAGTCACAAAATGTATTTTATAAATTTACCCCAGTCAACGTATTTCCTTCAATTACAAGTTCTTTGATAAAGTTTTCTTGACCCTTTCACTCTAAAATAATATTAATGACTTTCCAGATAACGTCACTTCTATTTTCGTTCACATCGCTGCGGCGATATTTCAGAGGACATTCGTGGACAACTCCCTTCGTGCGAGGTGTGCGGACGGTCCTTGTTTCTGATACCAGCGCAAACTAATGCAGTCCCCGTTCTGGTCCAAGAGTTCCCCGGCCAAGATGTGTGTAGTTCTAAAAATCTCCGCAACCTGCACGTCGCCTCGCAAAAGGACAGTGCACCAAACCTCTCTTCAAGGAGCAAACCTTCTAAAGCACATCTTTCAGGAACGAACATCTACCGGTGTTAATTGCAGGACACTCTTGTTAAATTTTGCAGCACCAAAACAGAAAGTGACAATATAATGCTTGACGCACATGCCAGTCTAAATAAGAACTATGTTTTGCTTCTTAGCGACCCAGTTAACGTAACGCATTTTCTTGTTAGTAAGTCTTTATTTTAAATTTTCAGGCTGTCGCTAAAAAAAGTAAATGATGATGAATACGGATATATTAAGACTAACCATTTTGATCAATGTGCAATACGAGTATCTTTTTTTGCGACATTTTTCTTCTCAGCTAGTAAAAGTTAAGAACGCTTGTCTCGTGTTTCGTTGTGCCTGTCCTTTGTTTTTGCTGAGACTATGGATTAAATACGTACAGATGAGTAGCAGATTACTGCTGCGAACATCTACGCCGCAATCATCAGAAAAGGCATATTTACCTGCAGGAAGCTAACTTTGTGGGCCGTCACAAGCTTAACAATCTCTGAAGGTCTCTCCCCGATAACATCGGACGGGAGGAGTAGGGTCGCTCCCGATGTCAACGCCAAGAAGATTTGTATCACAATGGGATCGAAGGTCAGAGGACACGGCCCACAAATGACGTCCTCCGGTGTGATGTTGAAAATCTCCCTGCAGAGACAATATTTTGTTTTTAAAGCGGAAACATGAAAGACCGTGTGGAAAAAAGTGCTAAAACCGCCGGTCATAACAACATGTTCTTTAGACATGTTTGGAGCGCACATGTTTTAAACATGCCTCAGTCCTGTGCGCAGATACTAATTCTATAACCGTGTTTTTTAGCGAACACTGCGTTTTTTATGATGTGTTAGCTATGTTACTGTGTTTTAACAGAGCTGAGTAGACGTCGTCAGAACGGTGAGAACTCGAGCCACAAATTTTGGTTTAATATTTTTCTCCACCCCTTAAAACCGGATACCAATTGACGTCATGGTCGAGTTAAGAAATGCATGAACGTAATCTAGAACGTTTTATTTACAGCGTGCTAGGGTGTTTTCTTTAGCATAATTTCGAAACAAGTTTGGTGGGAAACGAATTTTGTGTTATAAACTGACAGCGGTCTGATTGCAAGATATCTTATCGATCTCACTTTTAGCAGAGGGCAACGTATTAGCATCGACTGGATATATATTATTAAAAAGGAGATTACACACAAATTCAGGCGTTTTGTGATTAGCTAGAATTTACGAACGAAGCGATATTTTTCTCGTTTTTCTTTACTTGCTTAACGAGAAATCAAAAGCCATATTTCCGTTTTGTATATATTTTCAAAACATATTTGGAACCATCATAAATAATAGGCTTGAAGGCTTTTTTTTATTAAAAACAATGTCATAATCTTAGGCGACGATGAATTTCAAAGACATAGGTCTACAGAGCAAGCTCTTCTTGGCATCTAAGATAAAATAATTTCGAACATTGAAAATAAATTATACACTGTGGGAATCTTTGTTGACCTAAAGAAGGCTTCTTATTCAGTGCAGCATGAAATAATATTGCGGAAGCTTGAGAAATATTGCATTTGTGGTGTAGCGCTAACACTAATAAAGAGTTATTTGCCTGATCGTTATCAATTTGTCACCGTCAATAAAAGACCCTCCTCCAAGAGAGAAAATACAGCATGGTGTTCCCCATGAATCCACCCTACGCCCCTTATTATTTCTGATATACATAAATGATTTAACAACGATACCCGGTCCGCAGGAAGTAATCATGTAAGCTAATGAGTCAAGCATATATTTTAGTGGCTTAACTAAACAAAAAGTTGAAAGCACTACAAACGTTTATCTATTAAAGCTCTTACAATGGCTACAAAAGAATAAACTTGAATTGGACACAAACAGAACTGAATACATAATTTTTAGACAAGACTAAATCCATAAACTTAAAATTTAAACTCGATATGGGAACAACTGAGTGAGCGAAAATTTCCTGGTGTTTGATTCACGGAAGATCATTCCTGAAATAGCCATACTGCCGAGCTAAATGCCGATTTCTGTTAAACTATTGGCATTCTGTCAAAATACAAAAAAATAACTGTTCCGCTCTGGCTACAAACGAATATATATTTGACTTTATTTTACTCCAAATTAAGTTAAGCAGTTTTAATATTGGGTACGACAACCACTTTAAATTATAAGAAATTAATAACCGTACAAAAATGTTCTAAGAATGAACGAAAACTACATCTGAGATTATAGAAACTTGCGCACTGATCCACTTTTTCTTAAACATAATATTCTGAAGGTCAATCAGATATATTATTTCCAACTGCTGCAAATAATCCATATGAATCAATCCTACCTGACACTCGATGATCAACAATCAGCAGCGTATAACAGTGTCCGAAACGCAAATTACCTTGTATCAGAAGAAACTATGGGCGACAAAGTTTCACTTTTCAAATTGCAACCTTTCGAAGTCGCGAGGAGTTTGAAATTACCTATTGAGTGTCTATACCGCAGTTTAAACGAAATATTATAGAGTATCTTTCTACGAGTGATTTTGTTTTCTGTGAATGTTGTTTTGGGGTTTTTACTCTACTGGAAATGATTATTGCATCGAGTGCCGCATACTGCGTGAATTTATGAACACCTGAAGGTTTCTGAGTTTTTTTGTGCCTCTCAGATTATATCGTAAACTTGCCCATATTTTTATGTGTTCTTCTCACTTATGCGTAGAGATATTTTTCTTGATTGTGTAGATGTTATTTTCTTCGGTACTTCTCTGTTTTCTAATTTCAATCTGATATTTCTGTTGAACATTTACGTATATGTTTGCACTTTAATTATTTTTTTTGGATTCCAGGATAATATTGTAGAAAACGTTATTGTACGCGCTCGTATGACTCGTACACTGGTATGATGTTTTTTGTGCTCATTTGTGATTTTTGTATTGACTTTTATAACTCACATTGAAAGTGTTTGTCTTGTGAGCACTTTGTTCTTATATCATCTGTTGTAGGCCAAGAGGGGGCTAAGACCTTGTCAGCTTCACTCTTTTTGCCTTGAGCCCGCTCTGCGGATCAAATCCGCAGAAAGAAATAAAGAATGAATGAATCTGTGAATGAATGAACAAAACGCGCGAAATACTGCTTTTGTTAGGCAGCTTGCTCGACTTGCCAGTTATGCATCGCGTTGCGTGGCTCCGATAGAGAGCCTGGGAAGATTTCAATATTGTTTTTTTCATAATCTTCCTTTGCCTTTTTTCTCTTTATGTACTTTGAATTTAGAGATAATGCATAGCATGTCGGGAAGATCAAAGCCCGAGTATTTCGATATTGTGTTTTCTTTGGGAATCCGAAAAAATTCGCCTGTGTTTGTGGTAATCATTTCTACATTCTTAATGCTTGTTCAACTTAATCGCTTTAACAATTAATAAAGGCAACACTCTATAAAAAAGTATTGAGATGGGAGAGTACTATTACCTCAAGTGAAGCACGTTAGGTACGATGCAAGAGTGGGGCACCTGCACCGTCTTTGGTTCTCCAGTTGATCCCGAAGTCCACATTGTGTAAGCCATCTCCGGATCCGCCGACCTTTCTGAATCCTTGGTGTCTGTCACGGTGCCGAGAAACTTTGCGAGGACATGCGTCTCGTTCAGCACCTTTCCTAGGACTTTCCATGAGCCGCTCTTTGACAACGGGCTCTGAAAGTTGGAAACTGTGAGTTATTATCTCTCAACTAGGGATGCTGCGAACTTTGGTTAAACCCGAGGTTCTAACCCAAGGTTCGACTGATTCGGCTAAGTTTCGAACATTTGGCAAAAGTCGATTTTCGACTTCTTAAACGATGTTGCCCGGCATTGGAATAAAAAAAAGGACTTTTGGTAACAAAAATGTATCAATCAAATAAGTCGTATAAAATGTTAGCTAATTCAATTACAATCATGTATAATTAATACGGACCCCATTCATATGGAGACCTCGCTATATAGACCACATTAAGGAGTTTTCAATTTGGGGTCCCTAACCCTTGGGCGCCTCATACCGTGAGGGGCGTCGTATTGCGCATGCCCAGTGCAACTCCCCAGGCTGCTCGGTGCATCCATAGCGCCAGGGCCCCCGTTTCTAAAACTCTTTATTTTCGGGGACGAAGTGAGCGAATACTTAGATTTTTTGTTTTGTTATTACGTGCGCCTCGTGTTATGGACACTTTCTGAGGGAACTGAGGTGTCCTTATTAACCAGACAGTGCACTATCTCTTTGATATGTTCAAGTTTCGAGTGCAGCTAGTACAAGCTCCTCCCACAATGCCCTCCACTCTTTCCACTTTAGTAGAGCGAAGACTGGAGAGGAGGAGAAGATGGACACGCCTCCTCTTTAGCGTTCGCTCCGCTAATGCGGACAGAGCGAAGGGCTTTGTTGGAGGAGCTTGTCCTCCATTCTTAAGCCTGGTTTGCGCACTGGCATTTGCTTAACACCAACATTTCGCAATCTCTTACGGCGAGTGAATAAAATGTGCCGCATACCTGGCTGAAGAGGACTTCCTCGGCGAGCAGAAGCGACACCGGTATGGACTCCTGGAGGTTTTCGAGGCTCTCTACGGAGTTCTCCACATCAAGGAAGGCAAAGGAACAGGATGCCTTTAAAATCCTAATCGAAGAGAACCAGAAACGAGAAATGTGGTTAGAGTATTAGGAGATATGACGTGCATGTAATGCTCATAAGGGTCCTCTGTTTTCACTATCTCATTCAGCGCTGCGGCTTTGTTATCTGAGAAATATTGCGCGGCTCATCTTCCTGTCTAGTTCCGCTCCAGCTGTGCGTGAGACTTTGCCGAAAGCGACGGGGCTCGTTTTGAGAAAAAACAGGCGGCGTCTGTCAGTTTGTCGCGCCGGGGAGAGAGGGAGAGGTTGACGCGTGCTGACTTCAGCGCATCGGACCAATGGGAGCGTCGCACGCGTCACACTCTCCCCCTCCTTTTCCTTCTTTCCCCGGCGCTGACAAACGAAAGACACCGCCGGGTCTTCGTAAAAACGAGCGTTCTAATGTTACCGCATTAAAACAACAACATATAGGTTTCTCTTCGTACAGCAAAAGGTCAGTGTGCCTTCGACGTGCAATGAAGGCGCAATTGCACTTGATGGGACTAATCGGATGGGGCTTCCTCGTGGTGCTCGCACCGTAAGAGGGCACCGAAGGAGGAGGGAAGAAGAGAGGGGGAGGAGAGGGAGGTGGGGAGAAAGGAAACCGATGGAAAGATTAAGGCAGGGATCGTGGGAAGCGGGGTAGGGAGAGGAAGAGAGAGAAGAGAGTCATTGTGAGAGGGAAGCAGGGGATGGAGGGAAAGGGCGGTGGGTCAACATCTAAATGAAGCCCGTAGCGCTCCGAGTCGTGACGTCACAGAGACGGGAGGTGGGAGGCCACGTCGAGAAGAGGCGCCCACTCCGTTTCTCTTTGCCGCGTCGTCTGCCCACTAATGTCAGGCGGTTCGTTCTTGGGCAGTTAGCGTTTTTAAAGCGCAGTCTTGCACAATTTATTCTATATATAATATAAACGTAATACACAATGCGTTACCAAGATTGAAAGTACCAAATCGAAATACATGATTATCCCATAACTGGTACCACGGTTCGGTCTCGCTACTCCCCACACATTTCCAATGAACTGGCTCCGGCGACGATAATTTCTTCCTTCATACGTGCCCCGATTCTGGTAGATTTACGTTGTGTCTGAGCTGCGGAGTGTCTGGAAAGCAACGCCGATACATTTAAGAAGAAAAGAGAACCAAAAAAAGTACTCTCACCGCCGCAGGGGACGCACACGAGCGAGAGATGTGTTTTCGATTTTCGTTCGCCTTTCGTTACTTTCATCCCACACTTCTGCTGCTGCTCTCGTGAGTGGTTCTTTTGTGTCCTTTTGATACTGCGGCATTTACGTAGATTCGCGGTCCTGCTACGGTGTGAGAAACATGTGTGGCCACTAGCCAAATATCACACTGGTCGATTATCGATAGACCTCTCTCCTTCGACAGGGAGCGAGTGTTCATGGAGTTCCGGTTCAAATTTGTTTCTGAGGGATATTGCGGGGCGTAGGAATATGATCGGGCAGGTGACGGGCTTTCTTGGTCATGTAGGACGCGAGTAGGGTACCGCAATCGGTTACTTTAATCATGTGATAGAATGGAATCTTGTTTTTATTGGTTATCCCTGTGCAAGGTGCGATCCTTAAAAGTGCGTTGTTTGGGCTTGTGTGTTTTGTTTATACTAATGCTATTGTATTGCCTCTACGGCGTTTATACTACCGTCCTAGCTGTATTACGGGAATAGTGTTATTGAATAAGAATTAAATTATATTTTGTTCTATGGCAGCTCGAGCCCATAAATAGAAGTCGGTTAGTTCACTGTAAATAGTACGTTTAGTGCATCTTGCCACACGAAAAAGTTAATATATTTGCACAAAGTGATATTATGGGATCGAATCAGTTCGAAACGCTGAGTGACTATAATACGGGGGTCGCGAACTGATTTGCCGACCCCATCATGTCATTCGATCTAAATGACATTAATTTTGCCATGTGGCCGGGATATAATGCAAGAATTCATTGACTGCAAGCGTTAACATCGCTTACATAATTGTGACACATGTCCAGCGTTGTCCAGCTTGGCTACGTCTGAGTGATATTTAATGGTATCCAATTTGCATTGTCCGATCAGTGTCTGTCTCGCAATTTTGTAGAAGCAATTATGGGTAAATTATGCATTTCTACAGCGATAACTGCGTGGCTCAATGTTTTCGACTTAAAACAATCAGATTTTTCTGTACACGTCTTATACACAGCTCTCGTGCCATTTCATACCGGTGTAATGTTTCGCCCGTGAAAAGCAATATTTTCTAGCCCCGTTTCTTTGTGCAGCCTTCATTTTAGCTGATAAGACACGCATATGTGACTAAAAGCGGGTTGTTACGACGGTCGATCCTCGCTCGTTGCCTACGATTCGACGCTCGCCTCTGATGGCCTTTCTTTCCGACGTCAGGAGAAGAGCGCTACGGTCTCTAGGAGGTGTTGGGAGGCTGCGGATGGACGAGGGAATACACGGAGGGAAGGCGTGGCAGGATAGAGGAAAGGAAGACGGGTGGGAGGAGAAAAGGATGAGGAGGACGAGGGAGGAGAGGAGGGAGAAAGGAAAGAAGGGGAGGTAGGTGGGGAGAGAAGAGTGGAGTGTTGAGAGAGGGAGAAGGTAAGCAGGGACAGAATCAAGGGACAGAATAGAAAGATTGGATACATGGTTTTGCGCAAAAAAGACGGACACAAGAAAGAGCAACAAACACGAGCGCAACTTACAACTGTATTGAGGAAACCTTTAGAAAACATACAGATATATCGTCAACTTCAATGCGTCCACGCATGCGTCGTGTCACTATCACACGCTTGTCACACAAACTTATCCAGGAAGCGTTTCTCGGCATTATACAAACTTATCGAGGTATCGCTCACAGATAGGTCGCCTTTCTTTTTTTATCAAGAAGGCTTCCAACAGCTCACGTGCTTTTTGTCCCTTACTTCCGGCGGAAGTAAGGGACAACGCTCAGATAGTGGGTCGCGGCGACCCCCTATCCTCCCAATCGTAGCCAATCAGGGCTCGACATTCTGACGTCACCGCTGCCCCCTGCGCAAGAAGCACAAGAACTTGCCCTCCGCATAGCATAGGCCTTGACGACAGCCAGCAGAGCGTGCACGTGTCTATCCGGAACCACGTGATGAGCACATGCTAAGCCTCTGTCCGAGGGCTCCAGCGGTAGGAAAAGGTAAGGAAGCACGTCTTCTTTACACAGCCCTGTACTTCACATGCCTTTCTAAATACGCGTCCTGGAACGTAACTGAAAGTGCGTTTCATTTCATCCTACCAGGCAGAGATTTTGACCTACCCCAGTATTGCCGGAACGGTGTAGAGGGATTTGCGACAGAGGCAGGGCACGGTTTCCGAAGGCGCTCCGTTGCGAATAATCTCTGCGGCAACTTCCGAGGCCAGCTGAGACACTTGGAGGTAAGTAAGACTCGGCGATCCGTCGCCATCGTCGTAAAAGACGGCCGTTCTGTTGGAATGCTTCCGAGCTGCTTCCTCGAAGCAGGTATCCAATCGGCGATGAGCTGCTTTACTCATTTCCCGCTCCTGGAACTCTCCTGGGCTTGTGGCTAGAACACGTAAGCGTACAAAAAAATCTCTGGTGCAATTTACAAAACACGACTTTGTATTTGCGCTGCTGCAACCTAATCGGGCCAGAGGAAAAATAGACAAGCAACAAGCAAGTTTTTCATGCCAGCAAAAAAAAAAAAAAAGAGAAAAAAAAACAAAAACAAATGAATAGATAAGTAAATAGCAGTCACGGTCGAACGCATCCGGGAAATACAGTTTTAACTTTTCTGTGTTTGCATATCGTTGCAAATACATTTCCAGTTGGCATCCCATTATAACTTTGCCAGGATGAAGTCATAAAAAAAATTGCAAGTGCGGACTTCGTGGAACGTAGAGGGAATAGTCAGAATTTTTCACCGCAAGTGCAGGACAGCTTCCATATGCGTCATAGATGGCAGGTGCGGTGATGGGTATTATATATAGTACACTATATACAAGTAACTGTATAAGGAATTCTATGGAGTTTTTTCGACGGGAACTGTTTGTCCTCTTTCCCGGACTTTGCGGCG